CCATTCTCATTGTTTCGAGAAAACGACCATTCCTCATAAAAGTCCGTACAAGGCGGATTTAGCGAGAAACAATGAGCACATTATATAAAAGAGAGCAAAAATCGGCGCGCGGTGACAAGAAATAATTTCAAGCAGGCGGATCCTGAATGTGCCGTGCTTTGGTCACCGGCGCGATGCAGCCTCCGATTAAACAGGTGTAATTACTCTTTAAGGACTCAGAACAAGCGCCTGTAAGCAGAGGCAGGTGCAGAGAAAAAGCGGCTCCGTCAGATATATCTACCTGCCGCCGAACATTTTTTTCCCATGCTGGACATTCCGAAAGAAATTACACACGCAGGTTGCATGACCGACCGCGATTGTCTCCCTTTGTTATTTATTTTATTCTCACTCTGATTTTTTCCTCGGGCCTTTTACGCGTTTCGCTCGGGAAAACTTCTTCTACCGAACAGGGGGGTTCGCTGTATTTAATCTTGATATATCCCCCATTTGGTACGAAACTTACCTGCCTGCACATCTGGCCGCTTGAGAGAGCCCATCTGTTGAATGCAGCCCTGTTTCACCTAGAAATGATGGACATCTGTGTGCCCGGCTGCTTCTTGAGAGGGAACAAGATGAAAAGAGATCGTGAATGCAAACATCGCAAAGCATTTGAGCAATTTTTATTTTGATATCCGTCTGCATCAGATAACGCGCCGTTTTTCACAAGACCGGTTGCATTGTTTTCTCTTGAAAACAATTCAAGTACTTTATTGATCCGTCCTACAATATAATGTATTGTTTGACCAACAAGGAAAGCTCGGTTTTCAGTTTTCACACAAATTTACTAAAAGAAATAATTACTTAACATCTGGTACAGATTTAAAAAAAATAGTTCATTTATTACTTTGAAGGAATGAAGATGGAAATTGCTACATTTAAAAAATATATCCTAGAATTGTCACTCTTTAGAAGTTTGTAGAATGATAATAACATATAATCAAAATAAATTATTGCAAGCTCTAATTTGCCTCATAAAGAGCAGTAAATTTTTTTTCAAAAAAAAAATTTATTTAATTATGTTTATTGCATAGAAATTTTATATAATTGTGCTTGCTTATTATCTAGTAATTTAGAATTTTGTTTATTAAAATGTTATTTCTAATTTTTAATTTATTTTTATTCAGTTAAAATATTTACAAGGCAAACATATTTTCAGATATGGAAACTTATCTTTATATTTTATAAAAAAAATTATAAAACAAATATAAAATATTTTCCAATGAAACGCATCACTGTCATAATCATTGTTAAAATGTATTTTATCAATCTTGGGATATTTGCTATTATTAACAAATATAATAATTTTAATTTCACTTAAAATTCACTTTTAAAATAAAGAAATAAACAAACATGTTAAATTGATGAGAAAATATGAAAATGCGTGTATTGCATTTTACCGCTCTAACCTTCAAGCATCTATCCAAAATATCCAACATGAAAATTTGAGAAACGCCGTTGGAAATTCTCGAATCATCGCACTCATTTCTCATTCTCACTTGATATCTGTGAGAAAGACGGATTAGCGGCATTAGAGAATAAAGGGCTTAATACATCTGCACCTTTTTTATGCACGCGCGTCGTATTATAAAAAAATGGTCTGGGTGAAAAGCGGCGCGAGCACCTTTTTCTTCTTTCCTAACCTGACGTGCATAATATTTTAAAATGAATGGGCCGCGCGCGATTAAAACAAAAAAGCTCAAACACCATTAGATTGATCCCTTTCCTCACAAAAAAGCGAGTCGAAGGGCCGGTTTTTGCATCGGTCCATAGTCTATAGGTACACCCATAATTTTTTCCCCAGACCGGATGAAAAAGTGGACACCTTGCCTGCTACCCCGTGAGCAGCGGTGAAAGCAGAAGCGGACCGTCAGAAAAAAATGATTAGTTCAATAAAAAAGTAAAAAAAAATGTGTGAGCGCGGAGAACTGAATAGATAAAAAGAGAGAGTTGCATCATCACCTGGCAGCATCTGGACCACGTCTAAATTTGTTTTATGACATTGAACATCTATTGAGAAGAAAATGATAAAAAAAAAAATATCAAAGATAAATTTTTTATGTTTTTTGAAATTAGTTTTTTTTTTAAGTTCTTCGGTTAATTAATTGGAAACTGTATTTTGCACCTAAATTTTAATTTTAAACTTAAGAAACTTAACATGTAAAACGGTTATGTAATTTTTTTTGGGTAATATTTGAAAATTTTATTTTTTATTCTATATATTTTATCCTTATATTTTATGCGACGCATTTACATGGTGCCTATATATTATTTGAGACATTGACCAAGGTCAGTTTTATTAAACAAACATTAAAAGGTAAAATCGTCCCAACCTTGGGATAGGTCAACAGATTTTTTAATTCTCTATTTTCAAAGTGGATTAAAAAAGCAGCAACCTTCACCGTTTCCTTTTCCTCTCTTTTTTTATATTATTTGTACCGAGAAAAAAAAATAAGGAGCACCCCTTTTGTTTCTGCTCCGTCTGTACCTAAGGGGTTCATTCGTCTTCATTGTGCGATTACCCTGCAGCACGTATTTAAAAACTCATTCATTTTTTTATGCAATTAAAATCTTACTGGTTTTACCCGCGTTGTTGTTTTTGCGCGCCACTCACCGGCTTTTTTCATCAAAAGTAAAAGACGAGTATTCGTCGAGAGAATAATTATTTGAGCTTTTATATACCAGAGGGTTCTTTGCGTAAGCGGAGACTTGCCTTTGTTTTCCACACAGCCGCATCTTGTGTCGAGAATCACAATTTTTTTTATATGCGAGCAACTTTTACTTATTGATGTTAATAGCTCAGCTCATGATAAAAAAAAATTAAGAAATATTAATTAATATTAATTAAAACACATAGAGTATAATATTCATCGGAGAAGTAAATGAAATTTCAGGGAAAAATTTTAAAGCTTGCACTTAACACTCTCATGCAACAAAATTGCAATTTTTGCTGTTACAATAAAATTTATAATTGAAATTCAGCAGCTTTACGATTTTCAATCTCTTTATATTTGTTTTTTTGTTTTTATCGGTTTTTATTATTAAATATTTCATCATATTTAGTTTTTGTTTTGAGTGAAGGAAAATAAAACAAATTTATCATAAAAAATAAGAAATCAATCAGTAAGGTGGACTGTCCGGCGTGGGATGCTGGGTCTTGAAAGCAGCGAGGAAAGGAATGCTGGGAGGAAGTGAACGGTGCATTTGTTATCAAATCTGCGTGATCTTCGCGTCTCGCGGCAGAGATCCACGCTCTCAAGAGCGTGGGAGTTTTGTGAGAGAGCGAAAATAATTTCGTTGCCTGCCTATTTGACCAGCGACGCCTAACTGTTTCCGATTGTGTGTGCAATTTTTGGCCACTGCTTTTCGCAAATAATTTCGAATTGTACTGTGAGCTTGGTGTGTGTGTTCAAAGAAGTTCGGATTCGCACACAATGATCGTGCTGGAATTGAGCAAAATAAAAATTTTGCTCTTTTACAGCGCACGACGATGATTGCTAAAATACGGTCGAAGGAAAAAGAGAAGATGCATCTTTCTTGTGGGAAATAGCCGCAAGGTCGCGGGACCCAGTATCACAAATGACCAGGCAACAGCCTCTCTCATCTCATTATTCACCTAAAAAGAGAGAGAGGGGGTCCTTGATGATGGGAACACTGACCGTGCTCTGTGTTGGTCAACAATCAACAAACATATATATAAAAAATTTGCCTAAGTTAAAGGGCAAAATAGTTTAATGACGCAAAGAAAATTTGCAAAAAAGCAACCGTGATTTGTGCTTTTTTTTTAAAAGCACAAAATGAATAGATAATTTAATAATTATGCCTTTTTCTTCAGTCAACGAGTTCTTTTGTTTTATCGAATAAGACACAATTCCATTGAAAATAATTTTACTGTTTATGCATCCAATATTTTAAATTATGAAAATATTTTAATTTAATACTGTTATTAACTTGGTAACTAAAAAATATTATCACCTAATAGTATAGTTAAATAATTTTTTTCTTTATTATGCTTTCCTAAAAAAGAGTGAAATATTTTGAAATGGAAAAAAGAGCAATGAAAATATAAATCGATTGTTATTGTTTGTGCCGGAGTGAATAAATTTTATTTTGAGAATTCAATTTTATCATAATTATTCAATCTGAATTAAAAATACACTTTTTTAATTTGTGACCTAAAAAAATCCAGGTATTTTAAAAAATGGTAAAATCTTATATAAAAATGAGCGAGTAAAGTGCAAATAGCCACAGTTTCTCACGCAATTTCAATTGAACAGCAGCAAGTGCAAGGACGCGAGCAAAAACTTGCAAAAGAGCGGCAGCTGGGAAGAGATCGACGCAGGTGCTTCTTTTCTCATCGGTCATTTCAGCAATTGCATCTTTCTTTCCTCAATCACGCGGGAAATCTTGTTGCGCCACACAATGATACGCTCGTATATTTTTTATTGTAATAAAGAGGTCCGGCGATGGAGCAATAATACCTGGAGACGTCTTCATATAGAAGTATTAGTAATTTCGTAAAACTAAAAAATAATGTGATTGCTCGCCAAGATTCGAATAAACAACCGAAAGCTCCACGTTAGTGTGAGGTCCTTCATGAAGTTGAGATTTGGATATTCTTTACACGACTTTTTTATTTTTAAAATTTCATACACATTTGACATTTTGTTCACACTTATCAAGAAAAGTTGACGTCATGAAAGGCATGGACGGCCAAAATGCATACGCATGATAACACAAAGGTTATTGCGGAATCAATAACTTTCATTTTATAATACTTTTGGATCAGCTCCACTTTACATATTTTCAATGATATTGCTTAATAATTATTTTTAGCCTCCACCTGATAAAAATTTTACATTTGTAAACTACACCAATGCTTTAAAAATATAAAAAAAATGTTATTTAAAACCAAAAGTTTTAATAATATTAAGTTAATAAATATTTAATTATTCATGGTAAAGTTATTAATTTATAAACCAATTTATACGGGAACTTCCTTAGGACGCAACATTTTGATTTCAATTCGAGTTTTACCGGTACCTTAAAATTTGTTAAATGCTGACAAAAGAAAACATGAACTATGAACTCAAGCACAAGCAAATGACCCAGACATAACACCATTGAACTGATCAAAATCCAATTTCATTAGTTTTATAACTGGTGTCCTATAGGTAAATATAAGATCAATGTAATAAATTTGAGGTCCGCATCCCATGCCTGGCATTTCACCGTAAGTATAGATGTGTTGATAGAGATCTGTCGTTAGTAATTTTTTGCTGATACACGAAACTTCTGCAGTGTCGTTAATTTGCTGGACATCTGAGAATAAAAATCGCAAGGAATCGACTAAAAAATATCATGAAATCACTATCTGAATAGTTCGCTGTAAATCTAATACTTAAATTTTGTGGCACCAGCGATGCAAACTCCTCCATTTCCGTTCGCGATGGCAACTCAATCAATCGCATTCCAAGGGAGCAGCAATACTGGTGCGCAAAGTCGATGCTTTTCTGTGTGTTTTCTCAGACTCTGTGATTCGTTTTGCATTGATCAACTCCACTCACCAGGTCCATTTTATATGATATAAAGATTGTTTTATTCTTGCTATTCATCCAAACACCAGTTCCAATTGATGCTATTTAAAAAAAAATTATGTAAATAATGTTGCTATGTTTAGGTTTAATTAAACTTTGTTTATTGTTATTGAAAGCATTGGTAAGGGCCAACTAGGGTATTAAAAATTTTAGTTCTGGGTAATTTTGTCACTAAGTTTGCTGTATCACGTCTTTTATGCAGGGCATCGACTCCGTTACGCATGACCTCATCTCTGGGACGCATGGAACAGGTGGAATAAGCTGTAATCAGAGCTTCCAATTATCAATAGACAAATTAAGTCTGAAATTTACCTCTTCTGGACTCCCTTTTCCTTCATCGACCATTTTCTGCGTTATATTTGGTAAATTTTCAACGCCGCAGTCATAGATTTTGGCTGCCACGACGCACTCGTCGTCCCCGGTTATTGAAGAGCATTGTACGTAGCCGTTGAATCCCTTTTCCATCTCTTCCGGTTCCTCTTGCGTCGCCAACTCCAGCAACCTTAAAGTGTCACCAGGGTCTAATTGTCCGTTAACAAACTAAAAAAAATAAACAAAAATTGTTAAAAAGTAATAGCAATCAAAGCACCAAGCACCAGTTTCTTGTCCTCTCCAATGCATTTCATAAAGCACTGCACAACAATTAAGATTTAAGATTATAGGATTTTTAGTTCATAAATTACTACCTTAATCCTGGTCGTATAGTTCCTGTAGCCGAGGAGAAGCATTTGAACGTCGGCTGAGGAAATTCCAAATCATTGAGAATTTAAATCAATAAAATAAAATGACAACCTTCAGAAACATCCCACAGGGCCATGCACTCGATCTCGAGGCCCCTTTGAGCGGTGCCCCGCTGCCGCACCTCACAAACATAGTATTTCTGGCTATTGCAAGCAGCCACCCCCAATGGTGACCTTTCCAACGTCCCATTCTTTATTGTTACATATACGCATTCGCCATTAGCCAGGTTCGGTTCTCCACTTTTCCAGAGAACTTGATTATCAACAAAGTTTGCATCTTTTGAGCACCAATTGAATTTTTCGGTGCAGTTTGAATTTGTTCCTGATGTCCAGTAATCACTGTCATTGACCTTCTGTGAGTATCCTGAATAATGCCTATAAATAATAAATAACCCATGACGAAAATTATTAAAATTTTACGATTGGTCATTTTAGTGAAGCATTTGTTTTTCTCCACTGAATCCAGCGATAACAATGTCAATCCAATAGCATTGCACGCTTTCCATGCCTCCGAAAATTTTTTCTGGAGTGAGTTGAATGGAAATATTTTAATAATTTAATTATTATTTATATACAACTAAAATATTATAATACCTTGACGTTGGAAAACAAGAAGTTTCTTCCACAAGCAGACACCCAAGATCCGTAGCTATAAAAGTCTATCAAACAATTTAACTTAAATATAATATCAATTATGTTTTTTTTAAACCATTGAGCTCATTTCCATTGAAAAGTGTCGTCTGATTTTGGAAATATTTTGATATAAGTTAAAGGAAGACCATTATTATTATGATTTTTTTTTTTACATTTCGCTCTAAGAATTTAGGGCATGTAGGTTTCGAGCAGGGAGGAGTTTGTAAGTTGGCAGCCTTCGCCTAACAAAAAGAGACTTTCTATCAAATTGAAACTTTTTGATTTACAGTCGTGACGTACTTCACATAGGAAAATGTATTTGCTGGTGCAGTTTCTGTCGGTCAATACTGTGCCAGTTGAGTTGAGTAAAATCCTGAGGTGCACGCAGTCCTCTTTACCGCCCTTGTTGTCAGGTTGACCAATTTCCCACTTCAAATTGTCTCCAAGACTGAGATAATTATTGCCTGGATCGCACCATGACCACTGGCCAGCGCAACCCCTCTGAGTGCCCGCAGTCCAGTAATTAAAATTCAACGTCCAATTTATTGCTAGATCATGTAATAATCAAAATTAATCAATTAAACAGACAAGACTTTTTACTGATATTGAGTATTGAGTTTAAAATTAGTTTGCTTTTATATACGGTCAAGTGAAAAATTTACATCCTAAAAGAATATATTTAAAATTTAACTTGTTTTTGGTATATTTTAGTTTTAACAATTATATTTTTATAGTTTTACCACTTAATGTATATTTTTCAAAACATTCCTGTTCTGCTGGAGTTTCTAGAATCAGAGGGGCCATGCCTAAACTGCAACACAAATTCCAATTTTCCTCCCACGTCACCTATACGTATATTGTGAATCACATTTGCAGTTTTTATTTCCGCTCAGCTCTTACCGGCTTGTTTCCAAAAAGATAATGGCTGCCACATTGCTGTGTCCAGAATCCGTACGACGATGGATCTTTAACAAACAAAATTTATTTAATTGTATTGCATTTTATTTAATTGTATTTTAATAACCCTTGATCTTCTTATTTGCGTCAAATTTATTAGCCTGTTACAAATTTTTGTAAAATAATATTTTAAATATATAATTCAAACCAACGTCAATGGTGCAGTTAGTTGGACAGCTCGGTTGTTGACATAAAGGCTGTAAATTAAAGTTATTACAATGTCAAGTAAACTAATCAATTGATTGTTTGAGTGAATTAAATATTCAATTAAACACCTATTTGGAAAAAAAAATGTGCTGACTGACCTCGCAAATGTAAGGCAGGGTTTTGTTGCAATTCGTGTTCTGCAGCCCTGGGCGTTCAATTTTCGTAGAATTGAATTTGAAAGACAAACAGCGATCGCTGGATTTATTGGCCGCCGTCATGTTTGCCCAAAACGACGAGTTTCCAAATATTTGACTGATTTTAGGTGACAAAAGCGTGTCACCCAAAGCGCACCAGCCATACACGCCGAGGATTTCACAAAACTCTCCCTCATTGGAGCCACTCGTCCAAAAAATTTGGCCTATACTCTTTACGGCTATAAATTTTAATAATCTTAATTTTCAAATATTATATAAAAAATAGTGTTGTACATTGATAAGATTTTAATAGACATTGAAATGTTTCAATAGAAGTTATCGAAGTTAAACTCAAATTTTTAGCTTGGCAGTGAGCAGCTGCTGTAGAAACTGGCACCTATAGTACATTTTAATTAATTATTTTTTAATTAATGTTATTTAATTTCTAATGTTTTACAGCTTTTGATCCCAGAAAATAGGAACGTCCGCAAGTTCTAAAAACAGACCCCGTCAGAGTTGATGCTGTAAAATGGCTTTATTTTAATGTTTATTTTTCTAACATTATTATTATATTTATACAGGGATTTTTAATATTAAATAAGTTCCCCGATTTAAATATAGTCCTCTAAAATAACAACTGGGCTGAGCGTAGACATTATATAAATTAACACATACGCTTAGGAGTAGTGAAGTTCGCCTAGGAAAAAAATTTGATAAAAAAAACTTTGTTGTAAATTTCTTTTGCTACCATTAGTCGCAAGGAATTAAAACTCTTGCAATCGGACATCACGCAAGGCTATATTTTAAAATTGCATTATTATTATATATTCATTTAGAGCTGACAAGGGCTGTATTACAGGTGTTGTTGTCGTCGTTAGTGTTGTTGTCGTCGTAAGTGTTGTTGTTGTAGTTATTGTTGTTGATATTGAACTTGGCGATTGCGTTGTGGTTATTGCAATTTGCACTGATGCTGCAGTCGCCGAGGTTGAATTTGTTGCGAATAAAATTTCTGTTCCTTTTGCTGATGCTGCAATTGCTGTTGTTGGTGTGTCCATAATTTGTGTTTGCTTCACATTCGCCGTAGTAGGATTTGCGATATTTGCATTGCCTAATGTGTCAGCTAAAGATGAGGTTTGAGTAGTAATGATGACACTTCCTAATCCACCAAGGTCTTCAATGGGGGCCGAGGAGGTCGCAGAATTGCTGAATTCCTGTTGTGATGTAATTTCTGGATCTTGAAGTACAATTGTCGTGGTCAATTCTCCTGGTTGCGTTTCTACGTTGGAAGTGGCATCAGTCGTCTCTTGTCGAGTATTCGCTCCATCAAAATTGTCCGACATTGTAGTTGTCTGTGTATTCTGCTAAAATATTCTTGAGAATGGTACAGGTTTTTAAAATTAGTTAATAAATTGTACACCAGGCCCTTTCGATGTAAATCCTGCAGCCTCTTTGGTGTTTACCGCGTTTGTGATTGTAATCGTCAGGTTCCTTCTTTTCCCTTCCGAGCACCGATTTTTCCCACAGCATTTAATTATGGCCAACCGTAATCCATGACGCATTGCTTGCGACTTTTTATTGATTTTAGCACTGGCTGCTAGAAACAGTCATGAAAAAATCATTTAAGCGACAATTTTAAAATATTACGTGCAATCATCTTTTTAGAGACCTGCTTTCCTTTATATCGTTTTCCACTTATATCAGTCTTAAGCGTGTCAGAAATATGAAAATAAAATGATGCGTTCAAAATTTTTTTAAATTTTACCACAGATAAGGTGAGGAGGAGAATTGCAAACACAATCTTCAACTTCATTTTGGCAAACCTCAAACTGCCTCCAACAGATATTTTATGTTGTGCCTACTTCGCTGCAAATTTTAAAGTTTTAATAAACAAAGACGGCAAATTGTGTAATCATCAATAAGCTTCACCAAAATGAGTGAAACAGAAAACAGAACTCTCGATCATGCTGATGCAAAGCACACAGGACATTGTTATTCCCTCACAATAGTCACAATCGACGCAGTATATAAACCAACGTTGATATCTGATTTTTTCCGAGAAAAATAAAAATTCAACTCGCACAGATGAAAATCAAGGTTGCCAACTCAGTTAATTATGCTATCACATCCTTTTTTTGCAGCGAATATGCGAGTTTGGTGCGCTGGATGATTTCCACATCCCCAGTGTGTTAACTGTTTTTTTTTCAATCAGTTTCACAAAAATTTTATTCTATATATGCTACAGCTTCCTTTGCAAGTTATTCATTTATCTTGTGTTTAAAAAAAAAATCAAGATAATACACACAAGATTGTGTATAATTAAAATTCTCATTATATATTATCAAATTAATATTACTATAGCTATAGCATAGTATTCGCAAAAATTGTTCTAAAATGCTTTAAATTCTTGTAAATGAGAGAAATTGTGTTTCACAAAGTACTTTATTTTATATATTAATTATAGGCTAAGAACTTTTAAATAATAATTAATCAACTAAATTAGATATTCAGGGTAAAATGTTAAAAAGTACATCGCATTGCATTATTCATTTTCACTTTTCCCTGACTTTTACTAATAAGAAAAATTGAACTATAATTTTTTTCTAATCGTATTTTAAAATAAAGAAATCTGGCTCAATTGTGTCTTACAATATTCTTGAACAGAGAAAATAATTAATTAATTAATTTATTACCTGTTTCTATGAGTAAGATGACGTATAAATAATGCAACTTTAATTTTATTTTTCCAACAAGAATAAATTTTTATAGACATCCTGTTGCTTTTTGCTTCGCTTCTCAGCAGCTGATTTAAGATTTTTTCGTTAGTCGCTGTTCTTGGGTAATTGAGACATTAGTCATAGCCCGAGGAATTTTGACCAGCGAGTTGACGAAAAAAGTTTTAGTCGATTTGCCGATGTAGCCTCAAGGTTTTTAATCCCTTGAATTGAAAATTACTATTTTTATGCTGACTCTCATGAGACATCATAAACCCTTCTCTATGATATGAATGCTATTCTTCTTATCTTTACTGAACTCTACATTTTGTGCCTTGATAAAAACTGCCATTTTAAATATGCCTTTAAATCACCGATTAAATTTTAATTTGAAAATAAATATTTTGGAATGATCCCCTTATTTTACTTATCGTTAATGTCATCAACCCAAAACGAAAAATTGAATCGGTGAGTTAAAATTACAATATAATAAAATATGGACTTTGAAAATAAAAAATACTTATATTCTTGCGTCAGCAAAATACATTGCTATAAAAATTGGTGAAACCCCTGTCAAACTCTTGATATCGCCACCCGCCTCTCTGCCCATAAATAACATATAAAAAGGCGCAGCCATAAATTAGGATATCGCGACCGCCAATTAATCCTGTGGTCATAGAAATCGTCACGTCTGATGCACAGTTTTTGTAAGCCGGTGGGCGAGCGAGCGGCGGCGACGACAAGAGCAGCTGCCCCTCGGAATCAAATAAGGAAGCGCGGATTTCTTTTGTGGGCTTTCTTTCTTTCTTCGACATTTCCACTCCTTCCCATAAAGTTCTTTCGTCGGTGAATAAAATGCAATATTTAAGGCCGCACAACGCGCATTTTGAAAAGTCAACCCTGCTGCAGCAATTCAATTGAGATCAACAAAAGAGTCGCGACACCTCCAAATGCATACAAATCGTAAATCGTTTTGACCCTCTTCCTGGGTCACATCAAAATAATATCGAGAGGGGGCGAAATTTAGTTTTACTGTGAGGAAAATGTGCTCGTAAATTTTCATATTTCAAAAGGGAACAAGTGAACTTGTTATAAAGCTGTATTAATTTATGTAATAATTGAATGCAAAAAATAAAATGTAATCATAATCAATTGGATAAATAATAATAGAATAATAATAGAACAATAGTATTTTATTAAACTATTATAAATAATGTAAAAACAAAAATTTGTTATTTATAATTATTATGTTATTTTATTAATTCTTTTTATTAAATACCAACGGTATACAGACACATACATGAATATTAATTGTTTATGCATATAATAATAGTAAAAACTGAAGAGGTAGTAATTGCACTAAACTTTCATAGAAGCTGCTTTAGTTAGTGTTAAGTCACTCTTTTTACATTCGAATAGGTGATACATTCCAATTTGTTCACCACATTTTATACATTTACAGTTTTTGTTTGCTGCACAGTGGTAATCTTTATTTTCACATAACAAATGATGAAAACCATGGCAAGCATACCTCGTAAAAAGGTGCCGATCTTTAAAGTTAGTCTCTTTCCATTTATTTTCAGTCATTGCAGGAGTGTTGTAAAATTGTGGGTCGATTTCTGCATTTGTAACATTTTTTACATTTAGGAAATTCTCGTATTCAGTCGTGTTAGTTAACGAGAATGTATTACAGAGATCAATAATGAGTAAATTTGTACATGCTAATTCATATGCATATCTCGATTTTGTATATTTGGAAAGACACATAAGCTTTTTTAAAAATCTTGATTTAACAGTCTCAAGTTTAATAAGGTCATTTTGGCTTAAAAATG